TTTGTGTGAAATATAACAGCGTCTAGGACTGCTTTTAGTATCCTGGTGGTCCAGAGGTAGTGTTCCCCAGTCACAGTCATGGGCTCGTGGGCCGTGGGTTCGAATCCTGGCGGGTTGAGGTGTTGATTGTATGTAGAAGTCCGCGTGCTTTATTGGGCGAATGAAATATATATGGGATAAATGAAGATATTTAAAACACCCATGGTTTCGAATAGGCCGAATAAGACCAATGATCGCTGGGTAATGGGCGTATCATTATTTTCTTCTTCTATATGGAACACCTTTTTTTTCTATTGCGAATCAATGTTCTCATGCTAAGATACCTTTTATATAAGTTTCCTAACTTTATTGCTAATAGTAACGTATATATAAATACCATTTTTTTCTCTCTTCTGAAATCCCCTATATTTGCGAATTTTGTATTTATTTTTTGTATTTGTAAATGATGCAACATAACTGTAACTGTATTTGGCTCAGCACGGTGATCAAATATTATGTTTTGGGCCAAAATAAAGTAACCTAAGCACGCTCAAAAGATAATATGTCTTTTTCATCCAGGATGGTGTTCCTCCTCACCTATATGAACTGGTTGAAAGAGAGCTGCAGTGTAGGATCCTATCCTATGGCTCTCACATAGAGCATGGGAATAATACCTCTGGCCTTACTTTGAAACTGGGGTTTTTAAAAATCCAGTTTCCAAAGTCTAAACACACTCATAGTTAGCATTCGGCGACAAGTGAATCGAATCCAACAAGACGGATTGAGAAAAAAAAATAGGAATGGGCACGTCATGTATTTCTAGATTTTAATGATGGTGTATAAATGATAACTGTGATTATAAAAGTTCGTGTCTGCACTTTCAAATCATTATTTTACCTTTTTTTTGCACTGTACATGTTTATTACTGAAATAATGTTGTTTAAGTAGGGACCGTGTATATTCGTCCAGTGTACTAATTGAAATTAGAAATGAAATTTAATAATTATCCCCTCAGATGATTTTTTCCCTGTTTTGTAATTGAGTTACATATTATTGCTATTAAGATTGACCATAACACCTACCAGAATATCATTAAGGGAGAAGTAACTGAAGACAAGTTTTGAGGTGCAAATTTGTTAGCACTTAGAGTATTCTTTATTGTTACATACACAAGACTATTTCATACTGTTATCTGTTAGTTTGTCAAGTTGCAGGAATTGAAACATTCATTCAAGAACATTATATGTATCCTTGATTATGAAGAAAAATACATTACTTTAACATACTTTGACAAAATATGAGAAAGGCCAATTCTTCCCGTTGTCCCGTAGTCCTTCATACTTTCAATCTGTTGGGATGTAGACCGGAAGTCATAATTGTTTTCAAATTCTCTCCAAACGTCAATGAATGAGGGCAGAATATCATAAATTTCCGGTATTATAAAGTTTTCTCTAAAAGTTTGAACATGGAAAGAAGCATCCTGCCAAGTTATTGGAGGACAGGTTTGTTCTCTCTTGTGTGTTGCTAGACGTTTTTGTTTTAGAGTCTTCACGTAGCAATATTTTGTGTTTACGTTGCCCTCTCGTTTCCACCTTTTTATCCACCTCCAGACGGTGGTGACACTGCATCCTGTGGCTCGAGCTATAACTCGATTAGACATACCATCCATCCACAGCTGCACGATCAAGACACGGTCAGCCAAGTCTGTTGGTCTTGCCCTGCGTCGTCGTTCCATGGTTCTGTGCGGAATTAAAGAGCTGTTTTCAGCTAGAACCTATAAATATATCCAGTATACCATTTATATCCCTGTGCTATGAAATATTCCCTTTCGGCATCGTTTAAATATTATCGTTGGCAATTATTGAAAAATGGCTCCTTCGATATTATATATCCATTCTTATTTGTTTTGGGTCAAAACTTTATAAATGACTTACAAAGGCTAATAGTAAGTTCTATGGCACTCCTTTCCTCGTCAAGAAAGTATGAATTCCCTCAACCTCTCTATACTCTACAGTACAATAGATTTTACACCACAATAAAGAATATACGATATGAATGAAACATATACAGGTTTTTTCTTTATTCTATTTAACTGATTTACATTATCTTCAGGCCCAATAGTTATCATTAATAATACACATTACTTAAAGCAAAATTCAAATAATTCGTAATTTATTATCTTTTTAATAATTTATCTCTTCATTGAGCCCCTATGTAAAAACATTGAGATTAAGGACTCATTTTCTGACTATAACATGACTGTTATCAAAAGACTGTTGGCAATATGTTTGCGTCTTTCCTATTTTTCTCTGAGTAAAGGAAATAAGGCATTCAGTACATCTTAATAGTTTGATTCAGCTTCAGTCATTATACATGACATATGACACATCACGGACATATAGAACAACAGAGGTATGAATGATTAATATAACATCCATGAATAAAAACTGTTTCAATCGGTAGTTTTGATAACGTCCTTTTGCTATTAAAATGTTGTTTTGTGCAGTATGCATAATATCATCAAGATTTGGTAAATTACAAAATAATGTTGTATCATTCTATAAAACACCATAACACTAACTGTACTATGAATAAAATTGCCACAGTTGTTTCCAGAGATATGTTTTTCCTATAAGTTTTAATATTTGAAGAATATTCAGAGAAATTTGTTTAAAGTACAATATGATTTTTTTCTCAGACGTTGCTAGTATAGGCAGTGACAAAAGAAAGAAGTCTGTAATTGAACAAATACCACATTTTTCACCGATGAATACTGATAAGATTTCACCAAACGATTATTTTCATAATACTTAATACAACTTTTGGGAGCTGTGACTCTTATGGAAAAGGCTCCTCATACAAGATATGTAGACTGTCATTGAATGATCTGTGACAGTAAATATTATAATACAGTGTTCACTAGGAGGCACCTGTCCGAGGATATGCATGTACCTAATACAATGGGATGGCTATAGTCAGTTCCAGATATGACCCAACCTCTCACCCTTCCCGTGACTGCCCCAGGATGAAAACTTCCTTCTTAACCGATTCATTTGAATAGCGAGAGTTAGGGGCTTGAGGGTGTTCTGTCTGATAATACAGGGTGATTTTTTTTTCTTTACGAGATCCCTAAATAATACCAATACACTAAAAACTATATCAGTTGGGAACCTAATGTTTTGTGTAAATGTAGCCTAATGTTACAGACAGACGTAATATGATCCTAAGAGTTATCAGGTTTCAGTATTACGTGATTTATAACGTGAACGGTGACCCGTTAGTGGCGTTTAACCGTTTCCACTCAGTCCAGCAGTGGCGCTAACTGTGTAGGAACGCGTGTTTCTCGTGGAATATTACATCAAGAATGCATCCTTAAGGGATGTCAAATTGCACTTAAAAGTCATTTTGGCGGCTGTACGAAACCTTCGAAATCAGTGATATGGAAACTGGTGAAGCAATTCAGAGTAACAGGCTGCGTGGAAGTAAAAAAAAAATAATCATTCGCAACCCAAGTGACGTTACACCGAAGAAAATAGATGAAGTGAGGGAAAGAATGGAAGAAGTCCGAAAAATCTCTGAGACGTTTAGCACAACAAGGTTACTGTTCATATCCCAGTGCAAGGCAGGCAGTCAAGACACTCACAAATGGATAAAGAGAAACGTGTAGCCAGTGCCTTTTTCTGGTTTGGCGCACTGCTTGTTCAAAGGGTACCAGGTGGGCGCTTTTCAGGCTGCAGCTGCTGATTTCCAGTACAGAAACCCAAACACAGGGTTAGCGCCCTGAAAGGTTGCGCCATCATGAAGCGCTTAAGACCGCGGTCATCTTTAGTGCCATGTTGCAAACGTAGTGGGTAACCCTGATGCTCCTGGACTGGTTTTTCACGGCATTTGGGTCGCTAGCGCTCCACTACCTGGGTTTGTAGCAATGAGCAGCAGGGGAACATCTTGCTCTGGTCGAAACCTCTCTCTTCTATTACTAATGCATTACAGTACAACTAAAGGTCCTTAATAATTTTGCTACACATTAATTACTTACACTATATGATTGCCTATGGAATGAAACTATTGGAAAGTATAGTGGAGCAGCCCGATATAGTCGGGTTTAAGGCTGGGAGTTCCAAAGTTGGTAATATGAAGGAAACGTCCGGTGAGGATGTCGAGACACTTAGCCGTACACAAGTTGTTATGTACAATAAGGTGTGGAATGCTTTGATGCATGTGGTAAACACACAGCGGGTTATGGAGGTGTGCATGATAGAAAAGGCTTTAGAATAAGTAATAGTGAAAGTAAATTAATATTTGAGTTTAAGGACGCACTAAATGTGGTTGTATGGAACACATTGTTTAATAAGAGGACGAGTAGACTGATCACGTTGACACAAGAAAAATACTTCATAATTTAAGTGTCAGGAAATAAGACTTGTTAGGTATATTATTTATGTATGTATTCTGAAATAAGAACACAACGTGAAAGGCTGTTAGAGATCATGCGACACAGAGAGTTATCATTAAAGAATCACAGTTAACTTACGCGAGCTGAGAAAATGGCCGTTGAACGATGATGGAGACAATGAAAATGATAAGCGGTCTTTTCAGAATTTTCTATCAATGTTTTCCTTTCCATAAACAAATGACAGATAAACTTATATATTTTCCACTGTGTCATTCATTGAAATATTTGCTAAAAGTAGGCATATCACACATTTCTGTTGAGAACTGTAAGACTGAGCAGTAAAATACAAATATATTATGTTCGAGAAAGAAAATTACCTCCAATTATGTATCTCGCCTAAGGAACTTCAAAAAGTCACTAGTTCTACACAAGCTGTACTTGAAATACTTTCCTGATTTCGAAATTGACATTTGATATATTTTCAATTATTTTTATTACATTGTCCCAGTCATTGTAAATAAGCGGCTCTCTCAAGCGTATACAAAAGAACTTACAATGCGAACCAAAAGTCAGTGGAACCACCAGTACTAAAAGAATTACTCAAGTAAAAGTACCCGCGTCAGCTTACAGAAGTAGCGAGGCTTGGTCCCGGGTGTTGACAGATCGAACCGCTGCGAAGAAGTGAGCCGCTCGCTTCTTTCCAAGCCGTATTATATTGAGTGGACGTCAATACGGAGTAGTAGCTCCGTAGGCAGTAGCTCACGGTAACCAAGAAAATTGACCGTGTTGGACCACTCACCCCCCAGTGGCATTTACCCGAGTCTCATTATAGGAATTTATTTATTTTTTTAAATTTTATTTCACTGATTTATTTCAAGATTTCTAGTGATGATAAGTCTCCATTTATTTGCCTATAAATTTAATATATAGCTTTGTCTTCACACCTGAATATCACAGTAAGGGGCAGTAGAGTAACACACACACACACACACACACATATATATATATATATATATATATATATATATATATATATATATATATATATATATATATATATATTTCATTTTTAGTCCATATAACACGCGGACTTTGAACATATAATCAACGACCTCACCAGCCAGGACTCGAACCCTGGACCTAATGCAAGGGACCAGGGAACACTACCGACCATACCACAAGAGCACTAAAAGCAGTTCTAGACTATGTGACTATGTGATAGGTCCAGGGTTCGAGTCCTGGCTGGTGAGGTCGTTGATTTTATATATATATATATATATATATATATATATATATATATATATATATATATATATATATAACAATGTCATGAGTTTCCGGCCACTTTTAAGCCAATAGTATGAAGGCCTTAGGCCTGTCTTCGACCAATGAGAGAGCCTATGAGGCTTGACGTCATGAAAGTTTTGGCGTCCCTTGTGGGCGCACCCGGGGTCTGCGTTTGGAAACAGTTAAGTGTAGTTGTGTCATGTGTGTCACCTCCTCATATGGCGGCGAAACGTGAGTACCTGTTAGGTTTGATCCGTGTCCCGAAATGTATTGTGAGTAATGGACCTCTAGGTTAGCCAGCTAGGGATTTAGGTTTATTGTTTTGAAGTGTAACTGTTCAATTTGAATAACGTCGTTAGTAAACGAAGAACCATTATGATAAGTTCTCAATTCCCTTGTGTTCACTAAAACATTGTCATGCATGTCTTTGGTATAATGCAGTAATATGGTGAGTCATATATATATATATATATATATATATATATATATATATATATATATATATATATATATATATATATATATATATATATATATATATATATATATATATATATATATATATATATATATGTTATAATATATATGCAGTTTCTTATTTTTTAGGGGGGTCGTATGCATGTTTTTCTCAGCACATGAGGACAGTAGGGGGGTATGTATATATATGTAATATTCAGAAATTTCAGTGTAATTTCAAACGCCGCGCCATTGGCGATACTGAGTTTTCAAGGTCGTCTGAGGGAAGAGAGCGCTCCCCGCACATAGCGAGAGGTTGTGGAACTAGGCCTATATGAGATTAATTGTAATTTGCCGAATTAATAATGATGCGATTCATGAAGTTAAGGGACTATTATTGAATTTGAAATTATTATAGATCGTTTATCAGTCTGAATAGTGTTACGGGTGTCCCAAGGAGTTATTAGTTAGGCGGAAAATATGTTACGTAGGCCTAAGCTAACGCCTTGAGAGGACACGAGGCGAGCGGCGGGCTACGTCAGTCACGTGGAAAGCATTCTGTCCAGCAAGACGTCCCTGTGCGTCCGTCACAGAAATAGTCACGTGGCCTAGTCACCTGTGTTGCACTATTGCAGTATAACAAGTAAGTCTCATTCGATCTCAGACAGGGTTTAGATAGGGCAGTGATAAAGTTAACAAGAGCTAACAGTGAGTTCATTTCAGGGTTTCCGTCAGAACCCACTTGACTGCCAGAGATTGACTGCCGTTTGAGACTGCCATTGATGATTGATGATTAGCGATTGTCGCAGTTGGAACGATCAGTGCAGGCTTGTCACTGGTCAGCGGGGATATCAAGGAATCTCTTGAGTGAACAAGTGCTCCCGACAACTAAAACGACACGGGACCAGCATCAGCATTGGGTGATCAGTTCTTACCACGTGGGTGCATAACACCACGTGCCCTCGGTCAGCTAGAAGTATTACCTACTGGCCATAGTCACCTGCAGGCGTTCTCTCTTCCCGCCCATGGACGCACTGAGAGTACACTGAGGCTATCTGAGTAAATTAATGGTCACACACTGAGACCAGGAGTCTAGGGGATACCTAGAGGAACATTTATCTCCCTTATTACGGGTGTATGTTGAGTTGGGTGAAGCATGGTTCACGGGTATTGGTGGACCCAGAAACATCTCAATAATAGTGACAATATTTTTGTGTGTAGTTAATACCTTTTTTCAGTTACTGATATTATCTTGATGTGTGTAGTAATAATTCCTAAATGATTTTGATAGTATTGTTTTTTTAATGTTTGTGTCACTAAGTGGAACCAGAGTGATACTGTGATTTAATTCTTTTAATGAATCTAATTTTTCTTTATAATTCCGATCCCAGGTATAACCTTTGTTCCCCAGAGTAGTGGTTAATTTGGGTTAGGAAGTGTGCATCTGTTGGGGTGATATAATTTTGTTGAGGGCCCTTAAGGCCTATTCATTGTAGAGTTATTAATTTCATATTTTTGAATACCATTTTCTCAGTGCTGGTTATTATTTTGTTTAAAGCCCTTAAGGCCTGTTTCATGTGTGCAAGCAACATTTCTTAATACTTTAAACTTATTGTTCTCCAATGAGGCATTGCCTGAGTTTCTAATAATTTCAACATCATGTATAACTTTTATTCCCCAGAGTAGTGTTTTAAGTTCAGGTTAAGAGGTGCGCATATTGGTGTACCATTATTGATTGTGTTTGTGGTGTTGGAGGGAATATAAGTGTAAATTTTACAGTGTGTCTCATTCATCCCAGTCACAGACGCTATCCTTCCACGGGTCACGGACAATTCATTTTGTTTAGTAGATTTAAGTGTTATTGTGCTGGTTCGGGATTTTTCTCAAAGGGGCGCTTCCACTGCAATTACCATCTAATAATCTTTAATAAACCCCAAGTCAAGTGAGAAATTAAAGTCCAGTAAATTCCGACCTGTTACATATATATATATATATATATATATATATATATATATATATATATATATATATATATATATATATATATATATATATATATATATATATATATGTTTTTTTTTTATCGATTTTATTGCAATATAAAAGGATAATAAATATTCCATTGTCAAATCATTTTGCTAATGCCCTTCACCTGAAAGTCTGAGGATGAGATACCTAATGTGCTACTATGAACACTCTAATATGATAACCATATTGTTGCCACAGGTCAGACAGACAGGGGAAGCAGCTCATAGAATACTAAGCTTCTGATAAACAAGGAGGCAGTAAGGCCGAGACAAACAACACTGTTTAGTAAGAGAGAACGTTACCCGCCTGTATCTTGAGTGACTAAGAGCCATTTGAACCTAATATGCCAAAGAACAATTTAAGCTGTAGATGCCGTGGGTATGCTTGTCTGCCCTCAGAATTACAAATAATGTCATCAGAAACCTATAAATCAGTAATGCAGTTTTATGTGATCCTCAGAAAAAATCATGAAAAAATAAGCCAATGTTTTGTTGCCTGAAATTTGTCGGATATCATTATCTATTAGCGCTATGTCTTTCATTCTACCTGTTTTATCATCAATAATGCCTCAAGTGCTCTAAGATATGTTATTTTCTTATTACACGCTGGTCTGGTGGTGGAGGGAGATGGCAGAGCCTGTGACAACACTGCTAGTGGCTGCCAATGCCTCGCTGGCAGCAGTACGTCTTCCTCGTTCGTATGGTAAGTTGTACAGTTAGTTCTTCAACTACCGATTTTTTCAATTGCCCGATATCTTTCCACTTTCGTGGTAACCTTTTTCAGACTAAAACGTTGAAGTGACCGAATGTATCCATGTTCCGGCAGAAATAAAGGTCAACCCCTTGTCGCCGGTAATAGCTTTTTGTTCTCTTGGTTGTTAATCTATGGGGTCTCAGTAAATGATTCCAGGAGGGTGTTGTGTTCTAACCTTTGGGCAATTTCTTATAGGTTAATTTGAAAATGGTCGCCATTCGCATATTCATTTTCAAGTACACCTCTCCACAAGTCAAATGGTAGTGCCATTTCATGGTGTTTCTCCCATAATATTAACTAAATTTTATCAAAGATGAACATTTTATGTGATTTCTCCCTGTTCTAGTATGAAATGTCTCTGTGAGTTGGGGGTTCGAATATGTTCCACCTAAGATTCATCCCACATGCCCCATAGGCAGGAAAATTATGATATAAAATGGAAACGCTGGGAATAATGTGCAACCATGACCTATATATGCAACCATGGTTTAATTGTAAATCAGGTAAAGGTGATCTTCTGTACCAACATTATGAAGAGAATTTATTAATTCATTCATTGCTATTCTCTTTTTCAGAATGCAGCCAAAACGTTCTGGTGGCGGCCAACTTATGTTTATACTTTTAGAGCTCACAATCTCAATGTGCACGATGCGGTGACGGGTAGATTAAATATGGTGATGGTTCTCTTTTTAGGTGTTTGAAAAATGGAGGCAGTTTGCATATTTGAATACAAGTACAATTGTGACAGAACCCAGCCTTGCATACAGAACAAGAGACTGGGTACACTTTATAATCTCTGCAAGTAAAGTGTATGGGGATAACCTTCACAGCACTTTAGAAGCCAGAATATCCGAAAAGGATCTGACAATACATTATCACAAAAACTGTGTATCAAGATACACTTCCAAATCCAACAAAAATCATATCCAGAAAATTTATGAAACACCCAATCCACTTTCTAACCACTTGCGTCATTTGGTTTCTCCCTTTGATTTCTTCTCACAATGTTTGTATTGTGGAAAAGAATGTATACTCTCCAAAGATCCTAAACATCCTGACAGATGGAAGCCCACTTATCTCTGTAGGGCAAAAATGTCCAAAAGGTGAGATATATCCCTACTTTTCAAACAGAAGGTCATCGACATGTGTCTAGTTCTAGAGTTTACACACTCCGGGCAACAAGGAGGCTCCCACCACAGAATGTGCTGTTATCTGTCTCTTCCAACAAGTAACAGTTGATAGAACTAATCATCAATGACCTCATGACCAGTAGACATATCCTGAGGGGGAAACTTGTTGTCACTAGGAGCAATCCCGTTC